AACTACATTCAGACATTCAGTGCATGACAGATAGATACTTATGTATGGCAGAAAATAACATGTATGCACGAAAAGATACTTTTTGTATATGGCAGTAAAAGAGTTATCCTACCCATATTTTAAAAAAGTGCGTGTTAATACAAATTTTGCAGGCATGTAAATTTTGAGAGAGAATAAATTTCTATTATCAAAGAATTGAATACCATTAAGAAAGTGTCATAGATTTGTAACGTGTTCCCAAGCAAGAGCTGCGATAAACTGATTGTTGGTTTGACAGCAATGTAGGAGTGACTTAGGGAGAGTACACATTCATGAGTTATCTTAGCATTTGTTCTCACATCTACTAAATAACTTCACATCCCGAGTTAATAGTCTTTGTTACTGTTAAGGTGATCATTTAAAGAGCTACAATATAAGTGTTATTTATCTGTCTACTAACAACACAAATCATATATTTTGATGTGATAAGCTGATTATTCACATGTTAAATGAAATGTTGTGGAAATCTTGGAAGATTGTTGGTCAAGCATGGAGTTAGGATACATTAATACATGAGGAATAGATCGGATATAGAATTGCAGATCTATGTCATCTTGTACTTCTTCCGTCTCGTTTCGAGATTCTCATTCAAAAATGTCACACTTTTTTAGGAAATAATTATATAATGTAATTTGTTTGTAATTTCAAAAAGTGTTGGCGGGTATATAATATCACAAGGTAATTGATGATAATGATATTGTTATGGTTATTGTTAATTTTAGTATTGGATGATAACATCGTCATTTAGAGAGTGGTTATTTCCTAAAACGCAAATAAAATCCTTGATATGGGTCGTCCGAAAGAGGCAATTGAAAACCTTAAAACGGACGGAGGGAATATATTCTATGTGTGTATATATATACATCTTTGTTTTTTCTACATGGTGCTTAATGGTTGGCAGTGCTCCTAGGCTCTAGCAGTGCTGGTGCTTAATGGTTGGCAACTTCCAAAATATAAGCTACGGTGCTTGAAAATAGAATTGGTATGTGAAGCTTTAGAAACCATACCTGGCATTTTGGGTCTGCTGGAATCTTCCCCGGACATCGAGACATTGGTCATAGATTCTGATGACCCTTATGGGGTAAGTATTAATTATTCAGGTCTTGATTTTTGGTATGAATATTTATCTAGTTTGGTTTCAGTTGAGTATAGTATATGCTCTGTACTTGTAATGTTTTATGATAAATTATGTGTTTTCTCCCCATGATCAAGGCAATTTTTTGTGATTCTAGTTGGACCATGACTGGGCCCCACCTGCAAAGGATAATTTGGTTTGCGACTTATTGCATTTGAAGACGATCAAAATGTTTAGCTTGGCAGATCCAGAACTTGATGGTGAACCAATGCTCACATTGGCCCGAATCCTTCTTAAGAGGACACCGGTATTAGAAGAGATGGGCATATATGTTGGTACTGAAGATACAAATGACTTTGTCAAGATAGGACAAACCCTTCTCAATTACCCTAGATCCTCCCCAAAGGCTGTTATCGATCTATATTAGATTGTTGGCTTTTATGTGTTCAATTTCTCTACTATGTAAAGCATTTAGTATTCTCTACCCGTTTTTTCCTAATTTCCCTAACTTGCTACTATTTTTTTCTGCATCGTCTGATCAACTCTCTGTGTTGCTACTGCCTTTTGTTTTCTTTTGTTTGTTTCTCTCCATGTTTGCTACTATGGCTGCAAACAGAATGGTATGTTCCTTTTCAACGAAAAAACTGATTTTGATATTTCCAAACAAAAGATTAAGTGTGTTTTAATCCAGAAAAGGGTTTCAGGGTTGTGAGTGGAATTTACTTGGATTCTGATTATAGGGCTAAGAAAGATGAAATGAATGAAATTGCTTCCTCTACGGCTCTACTATTTACCTTAACTTGTCTGGTAAACTGTTTAAGAATTGCCTCATATAGGGTTGGACTTGGCTGGCGGTCCCGACATGGGTCAAATTTCTAATCCCGAACCAAGACCGGGTACCCGACCGGGTAATTGGCGATCCCTATCTTGGGCAAGTGCTGTTATTAAGGCCCGAACTGGCCCGGGATTTGGGTGGGTCCATCCACATTGGATTTGCCTAAGGGTGGACTGTGACTGGGTCGAGCTAGGCTCCGGGTCCAAAAACTTCAGGCCCAGTACCGGCCTGGGTTTGCATCGGAATCAACTCAATCAAGGTTGGGGCCGGGTCGGACTGGGATCGGGTCGAGAATTTTTTTGAGTCTTTTCGAAGTCTTTCCAATGAGAAAAAATTAAAACAAAACGTAATTGGGCCCAGGCCGGTCCACCATTTTCGAGACTTGTAGCCCCATTGTTGAATCCGCAGCTTCGGGTCATGAGGCTGGGTCGGGCCTGCACAATGCCGGGTCGGGTCAACCCGCCCCAGTTCCACCGCTAGATTTGCGTACTCGCATTTTTTCTTTTTTAGAAAATGCTCAATATATTGGATGAAAACATAGACAAAGTTTTAAAGTATGATTAGGTACGTTTTTAGTGTTTTGTTTTGAATTTTGAGAATAAAATGATGGATATTATTTTAGAATTTGTCCTTGTTTCAGTTTTACTTAAGAGATTTCTCCTTCTTTCAATTTTTTCCTAACTGCTACTGATGATGGGCGTAGTTGACCTGTTAGATAGGGAGTGTCACAAATGGTAAATCACATGTTCGAATTCTGACAATTGTAATGAAAGGATACTTACTATGTAAAAATGAAGTCTTACACGTTATTTGTGAGTCTGTCATATAGGCCCAAAGCGATTGTGTGTCAACTGCCTACTATTGTAATCATGGAATGTATGATATTTAATTGTTTGTAATGGTTTTTCAAACGCTTAACTTGTACTTGTGATATAGGATTGTAAAGGCAAAGACAATAAATCTTTGCTAAAAATCTTGACATCCTTTGCTTGTTATATATGGTTAATTAATACTCTCTCCGTCCCGTCAAGATTGTTCTATTTTTTCTTTTCGAAAAATAAAAAAGATATGTGGTGTTGGGTAAACCATTCCAAACGTTTTAGAAATGCTCGAATCTTCTCCAGACATTGAGACATTGGTCATGGATCCCCTTGACCTCGACGGGGTAAGTATTAGCTATTCAAGTCTTGTTCTTGGTATGAATGTTTGTTTAATATTGCTATAGGTAATTAATACCAGTGTATATGTTGTACTTACATTCTATGATAAATATAAGTTTGTCTTAAATTTGTTGTGATTCTAGTTGAACTTCGACTATGTCCCACCTGCAATTGTGAATTGTTGCATTTGAAGATGATCAAAATGTGTAAGTTATTCCCACCTGCAATTGTGAATTGTTGCATTTGAACTTGCAAACATTCATACCAAAGTCGAAGTTACCCTCGTCAAAGTCTGTCATTGATCTCTATTACGGAGTAGATTGTTTGCTTTTATGTGTTCATTTTCTCAACAATGCAAAACAATTACTAAAGCTACTCTATCCTTTTTTCTACTTTCCCTAATTTGTCGCATGTTTGAGATGTTTTTTTTAATATTATTTTAATCGTCTAGACTATGAAGGTGTAGAAAATGAACGAGGAAAAAGTCAATTGATACGCCAACTTGTATAAGGTGAACTAAAGAGTACACTATGTTGCATTTGACATTTCTAAGTATATAAACTCAGTTTTTTAGTGTTAATTAAGCACACTCGCTAAATTAACAGAATGTTGGATAAGAAGAGGTAAACGATCACGGCTATGGCATCGAACTTCAGGAAGCGACCAATTGAGAAAATTTATATACTCCCTTCATCCCAAATTAATTCACAAAGTCAACATTTTTTTGTCAATCAATGTTAAAGTTAAATCGTCCATATTAATAATTAGTTCATTTTTTAATAATTAAAATTTACATATTCTGAAACTATATTAAAATCACTTCAAAGTTGCAAACTCTAAATTAAAATATAATAAAAAAATTAACATATTAATTAGATGAATAAGGGGGTGTTTGGAACTGATTCTGCTTCTGCTTTTAAAGCAGAAGCAAAATCATAATCATTTTCAAAAGCAAGTCTTCTCCAATTTCTTAAAAAACTGCTTCTGGGTAGGGTTGCACAAGAATAACCCGAACCCGCGTATTCCGCCCGACCCAACCCTACCCGATCACTTTTAATCGGGCATTTGATTTTTAAAAAATATTCACGGGTTAAATATGCACAAACCCGCATCTAATGGGTAGGGTTGCATAATTAAAATTTCAAACTCGATAGTACCCGACCCGGCCAAAAGTTCAGTTTATTATTATGCTACAAAGTTTAGTTGAATAATTTCTATTTAAGACCATTGTGCTCTATCTAAGACAATGATTTTAGCATTATAAACATTTATCATTTTGACTAGGTGATTAGTGTGTAACACACACACACACTTGCTTCTAAAATAATTTCCTTTACGCAGGGTGTATTTTGGAAACAAGTTAATTGAGGTTCATATTGCAAGCATGGTTTACTCTTATAAACTACTTGCCCATATTAAAGGTTCAGCCCCAAATAAATTCCTTTCGTTACCCGACCCGTTCTAACATGGTTTACCAAATTATATTTCATACCGCGAGTTGGTTTCAAGTTTCAACCCGAAAAAATTGGGTAGGCCCAAAAAATATAGCAAACCCGACCCAACCCGCTCGATGTGCGGCCCTACTTCTAGGAGTAAATTAGAACACCAAATTACTTCTCCTTTCACCACACTCCCAGTTCAACTTCTCCTTCAGCAAAGAGAAAAATCAGTTTTAAAATCAAATCCAACACACCCTCATATGAAATTGTTAACAAAAAAATTGCAAATCATTTTGAGAGGCAAATAAATTGAGGTTAGCCCCCACGGCCCTTGGCTTCGTATATACGTAGTATTGTTATTATAAAATACCTGTAGGGCTGCAGATGAAATGGGCTAATATCCCGAGTTATACAGTACGATGTACTAGTACTCCGTATTTGGTAAGGATCTGGTGAAAAAGTAGTACGTATTTGCAAGGATACATCTTTCTACTTTCTAGACACACATCGAGAAAGCTAATAAGCTATTGACCAGCGGGGCAACGGAATAGCGTGCTGCTATACGGTCAGTCATACGGACTTTGTATTTCGTGATTCTTTTTTATGACCTCATTCGCCTCGATGAGTGAAAAAAGTTTAGCTGAAGAAACTCAAGAATCTGCAGAAAGTGATTTGCCCAAAGGAGAAGAATTTGGAGCTGAAAGTGTTGGAATTTACTCTAAAAATGTTAGGGAAAATAATCAAATTAGGAATTCAATTGATAGGATCAGTGCATTGCCGGATTGCTTACTTGTTCACATCATATCTTTTCTGGATTTGAAGAAAGCTGCTACTACGAGTATTTTGGCCAAAAGATGGCAGTTTCTTTGGGCTGAATTGCGGAACCTTGAATTCGGATTTTATCATTGGGGTAAAAGTAAGGAAACTAAGAATACATCTGACTTTGTGGCTTGGGTTAATAGCATCATTGCTACTCGTCGTGGAAATTATCTTGAGAAGTTGAGGGTTACTTTCAAGTACGAGGATTGCTTTGCTCCAGATGTTGATAATTGGCTGGAGTTTGCCATAAAAAGTAAGGTGAAAGAACTCGATTTGGGAACTAGCTTCAGCAAAGATTTGTACATTCTTCGTGAAATGATGTATTATAATTTATCCTTGACATCATTGTATTTGGAAGGTTGCATTTTGGATCCTAAAAGAACAATCGTGTGGTCATCTTTGACTACATTACATTTATCAAGAGTGGATTTGCCTGAATATGTAGTTGAAAAGATATTATCAGGTTGTCCTGTTTTGAATTCCTTGAATCTGAGTATGTGCCGCGGATTCACTTGTTTGGAGATCAACTCTAAAAATCTCTGCAAGCTGCGGGTGTGGGAATCTGAAGAAGGAAGTGAACCTTTATTGCAAATCTCAGCACCCTATTTAAAAGATTTGAATCTTTGGTTGTCTCATAGACAAAGACAGTTAAAGCTCAAAAACATTTCATCCCTTGTTAGTGCTAGTTTTGATTATTCCGATTCATTTGGGCATTTGACCTCTGAGGATGTAAGTAATACAAAGGAAGTTTTTGAAAAGATTCAGCATGTGGAGGAGCTTAATTTGGGGCCTGGACCCGTTAAGGTGTGTATGATTCTTCTAGCTTCTTTGACATTCTTGTGTTTTGAAAATTAAAATTCAAATGATCTTCCAGACGATATATACAGAATTGTCTGTGCCGAATTCATATATGTTGTTGATGAATGTGATAGTTTCATTTGACATTTGGATATCTATATTTCCAAATAAAGTATTACCTCCGAAATTTAATACTTGGCTGCCTATTGTTTTCAAAAGCCGACCCGGTGATGAACCTGCTGTGATGTTATTCTTCTACAAACATGGGGTTACACTGATAATAGAGCTGATAAACCACGTGGACAAATACGCCTCCATTTTTCCTGTTTAAACTTATTAGAGAAAATACATTTAAATGAGGAGAAGGTTTCAGAAGACCAGTTAGACCACATTATGCATAGCCAACATCTTATGGCAGTAAAAGACCTATCCCTACATTGCATTATGTTATTTTGGGCTTTTTTATATACTTACCTTTCATCCCAAAAAAAAGACTAATCCCAACACAACATTTAGTGCATGAAAGATAGATACTTATGTATAGCAGAAAATGACATTTATGCACGAAAAGATACTTTTTTGTATATGCCAGTGAAAGACTTATCGCAGCTCATATTTATAAAAAAATGCATGTTAAGAAAGATCACGCATGCATGTAAGTTTTGAGAGAGAACAAATTTATATAATCAAAGAATTCAATACCATTAAGAGTGTGTCATAGATTCGTTATGTGTTTCTAAACAAGAGTTGCAATAAACTTACTGATTGTTGTTTGACAGCAATGTAGAAGTGACTTAGGGAGAATAAACTTTCATGAGTTATCTTAGAGTTTGTTATCACATCTATTAATAACTTCACATCCTGAGTTGATAGTCTTTGTTACCGTTAAGGTGATCATTAAAAGAGTTACAATATAAGCGTTATTTAAAGTGTTATTTATCTGTATACTAACAACAAAAAACAATTGTTTTGATGTGATAAGGTGATTATTCGCATATTAAATTGAAATGTTGTGGAAATATTGGAAGATAGTTGGTCAAACGTGGAGTTGTGATACATTGCTACGCGAGGAATAGATTAATATTCAAAAGTTATTTTCGGTGTTGGATATATAAATGCAGATTGTCTCTCACTTGTACTACCCCCATGCCTTTTTTTAAGATTCCCATTAAAAAATGTAGGCTCTTTAGGCGATAATTAAATAATGCAATTTGAGTATAATTTGAATAAGTGTTGGTGGGTATATAATATCATAAGCTAACTGATGATAATGATTTTGTTATGGGTATTGTAGTATTGTTAATTTTACTATTGGATGATAAAATTGTCATTTAAAAAGTTACTTATAGGGAAATATGATCATTAATATGGGACACCTTAAAGAGCCAAGTGAAAACCTTGTGAGGGAATATATTCTATGTATCTATAATATCTTTGTTTTTCTCTACATGTATACTAGGCTCTAGCTGGGCTGATGCTTAATGGTTGGCAGCTTCCAAAATATAAGCTATGGTGGTTGAAAATAGAATTGGTATGTGGTGCTTCAGAAACCATACCCGGCATTTTGGGTCTGCTGGAATCTTCTCCAGTCATTGAGACATTGGTCATTATTTGTGAGGACTCCCCCCATGGAGTAAGTATTAATTAATCACGTCATGATTTTTGGTATAAATATTTATCTAATTTGGTTTCAGTTAATTATATTATATGCTTTATGCTTTTAATGTTTTATGATAAAATTTGTGTTTTGTCAACATGATTAAAGGAGTGTTTGCGGTTACTTCTACATCAAAAAGTGATTTTTTTAAGTAATTTTGTAGAAAGTGCTTAATAGTAAAAGTTGATACCGTTTGAGAAAAAAGTTCTTCTAAAATGTAAAAGTTGGTATTATTTTGTAAAATAAGTGTTTTTTATGTAATAGAAAAAGTGAAAAACAATTTAAAATACCCCTTTATCTACTTTTAATTTTTAGCTTGTAAGCGCTAAAGCGCTTAATTTAAGTAGAAGTTCTAACTTGAAAACACTCTTTTCAAACAATCGCTAAGGCTTTTCCTAAATTTGCTATGATTCTAGTTGGACGATCACTGGGGCCCACCTGCAAAAGATAATTTGGTTTGCGACTTATTGCACTTGAAGATGATCAAATTGATTGACTTGGCAGATCCAGATCTTGATGGTGAACCATTGCTCACGTTGGCCCGAATCCTTCTTAAGAGGACACCAGTATTGGAATATATGGAAACATATGTTAGCATTAAAGATGCAGATTTCTTTGCCAAGATAGGACTAACCTTGCTCAGTTACCCTAGATCCTCACCAAATGCTGTCATCGATCTATCAGATTGTTGATTTTTATGTGTTTAATTTCTTTAAAATGTAAGGCATTTAGTATTCTCTACCTGTTTTTTCTATTTTGTCTAACTTGCTACTAGTGGGATGTTTTTTCTGCATTTCATATTTAAAACACTTTTGGTACTTGTGGTAGAAGTTTCTGAATAGGCATGGCGAAAAAACCCCGCAGATTATACCGTGGGATCGGCCCACGGTGCGCACGGTGTGCCGATCCCTAAGCGCCACCATTTTAATTAAAAAAAAGTCATCTTCTTCCTTCCCAACTGTTAGGCAGGCCTTTCCTCCCTTCGCAGAGTCAATTTAGAGACATGGAAAATCATCGGAGCCCCCGTTGGGTATAGATTTGTGCAGCGCAGTCCCCAACCAATAAAAAAAACTCTGGGTTCGCTTCTTTGAATCATGAATCGACACCCCTAGTCCTGAAGAGAAAGCGTCATTAGCTGCTGAAGAATAGTGCTCTTTGAATCTAAATCTTTGAATCTAAATCTATAATAGTGCCTCTTTGATTTTGTGGAAAGAATGAGGGAAGGGAAGCTTACTGCTCTTTTACATATACTCGAATGGAGTATTGATCTCCATTGTGTTGATCGATGCATTATGCATATGGAGTAATTGGTTTATATGTATACTAACTAATACATGGAGTTACATGTTTTACATTTCAATAGTCTAAAGTTACATATCCCAAGCTAAGTTACATCTAATTTGTTTCCAAATTACATTTCAATTAAAGTAGTTTACATTTCAACGAATTATATGCGAATGAGTGTAATTTACATTTTGATTAACTTGAAATTACATGTGGATTCACACGAGTTACATTTCATCGGGGCCGGTCCTGTCCAATTTTGGGCCTATGGGCAATATGATATTTCGGCCTTATTTCCAAGATAAACAATAAATTATACTTAAAGTAAAAATTACGGAGTATAATAAAATTAGGACAAATTACTCTAAATACGACTAAAAACGTTTGTATATTCCAAACTAAGATTATCATGTTTATATTCTCCAAATAGAAGTCATTATTGTCATATTCTGACAGTATCATATTTTACACATGGTAGTATTTTCCGAACATGACAGTAATTACTTATATTCAGAAAACAAACACATGACGGTCCTCTTATGAAATTCTCAAAAAAAATTACTCCTAATTCAGGAATTCTCCCTACAACTATCTAATAAAGGTTATAAAATAAAAATGAAATTCACCTTCATATTATTTGAATTGCATATTTGAACAAAAGTAACAACACAAATATCACAAAAGAACATTGTGAAGTAAAATCATCAATAAATGCTTTATAATTAATCTTTTCCAAGACCACACGTGCAATGTTTAAAATTGTTAATCCATTAAGTTTTTTGAGACATAATAGATAATTGGGATAATGTTTGAGAATTGCGAGGCACTGGCAACCCAAAGACAATAATATAAATTGGTAATTTTGTAATTAAAAGAATAAAAAATATTAAAGGCTAAAAAGATGTGTAGAGACATGCTTTTATTGATTTCACAACAAATGTGTAGACTAACAACCCACTCTATTTAAAAATCAAAACTAAATTTATATTCATTTTTAAAACTTGTCTAGCTCCGTTCAAGACTTTTTACTTATGTTTTAAAATTCCCGAATTGTTAACAAAAATTACACATTAGGCCTAATTAATTAATTGAACTATGAATAAAAAATAGTCTACTCAAATTACATATAAAGAAAAAAACTTGGGCCTAATTTTCTTTCTACTTTTTTTTGGGCCTAGGGCGGTCTCCCCAGCTGCCCTCCCCTTAGGACCGGCCCTGCATTTCATATAACCATGGGAGCATGGTACTCACCATGCAGCTGTACCACAGTATACATACTGGAAAAAAACCTATCCAACAAGGATTGGACCTGCCTTACCTACGTTTTTTGCTTTCTATAGAAATTGATCAATGTAACGGATCGAAAACATAGGCAAAGTTTTTTAATTGGAACAAGGCGGCTTATATTGATAATAAGAAATTCAGCAAGGGGCAAAAGAGATAAAGGAAACATTTCCAGTCACCGACCCTCGAACCAGCATGAGAACCAATCACTGTAAATAGAGCAATATGATTCGCTGATCCTGTAGTGGGTCTATGTGAGCCTAATGTGGCCAGAGCAAAACCATCATCACCCCTACCTAATGTAAGACTCTGACAGAACAAAACAACAGTAATGGAGATAAACAAGTTCTTAGCAAAGAGCAGGAATATAAAGACAGTAAGAACGACGTGGAAATTAAAATGAATCCTAATGATCACGAATGAGCTCCAGTGCCCTCCTCTAGCTGAAAAAATCTTCAAAATTTTCGGCGGGTTGAGATGCGTGAACCTGCCCCCTCCCCATTTTTTGGATCATCCAAGGCCATGTTCACCCTTTCATCCCTCTCACCATTAGATTCTTGCCAAGTCCTCCTGCGTTTAGGTTCTCTAGTGGCTCCCTCCTCAGATGCTTTGTCTTCATTTTCCATCAGACCCTTGCTACCTCCAGTTAAAGAAAGTACTCAATCCCTTCTGCTTGGACCCTCGCTCCCATCTCCTTTCCAGTCCTGTCCTTCTGGGACTAGCCATTTATTCCCCCCAATGACCGAGATCTCCCCCCTCCTCCTGCACGCAGACCGACCCCATACGCCTTAGTTACCTCCACATTTTTATTCTCATAAGCCAAAGGATAGTACCTGTCAGCATGCCCCATGATACCACAGACGAAGCAAAAATTAGGAAACTTTTCATACTTTAAGTCAACTCATTTCCCTTCTCCATGCCTCTTCCTGAGAGTCGTGCCCACCTTTAGCGGTTTCCCCACATCCAGGCAAACTCTAATCCTCATATAACGTTTCCATTTTTTATCAAATTGACTCGTATCAAAACTAACGAATTTACCAATAAAATTCTCAATCCTTCTGGCCACCTCCAAATTCATAAAGTCATATGGAACATCATGCACTTGAACCAAAAATTCAGTTTCATTCAAAGGAACACGAAGGGGAACATCCCCTGGCTTTAGCGCTCGAAGAATTAACAAGTTTTGTTCGAATATTCACTGACCACCTTCAATCACACGTTCCAAATCAAGAATATGATAGAAAGTGAACATGTACCTTTTTTCGCTGATCTCTTTTATGGAAATACCTTAAACAAGCCTCCATAGTTGAGCCATAAGATCTCTAAATACCGGAAACTTCACCATTCTGTCCGTAATCACAGTACCCACCACTCAGAACGTCTCTTCATCACCCGAAACTTCATCACCATCGACAGTCTCTTCGTCGAAAACAATCTCGTCCTCTTTATCCCCAATAGCAATGTCCTTGTATTTATCTGTAATATCCTCCATCCTGGCCTCCTGGCCGCGAACACCCGTCGAGAACAACGATGAGCAAAGCAGCCGTCGAGTATGTCTTGCCACTTCAGCCATACACGTCTAGCCGAAACCTCTGGGACGGCCGAATTCAAGCATGGAAGGCGAAAAGAAGCCGAGACTAAGCTCGGATGAAAACTGCCGTCACCTTAGACGGCACCCTTTCAAAACCCTAGAACCCTAGGGAGTCGCCGGCCTTTTGTTTTTTTATCATACTTTCCTTGTAACATAGGCAAAGGTTTAAAATAGGATTAAGTGATTAACTATGTTTTATTCCCCAAATAAGACTTATTTAGTCCTATTAAAAAATAAGTTGATTAAAACATTTCCAAATAGAAATGAATGTGTCCTATTTTGATTTTTTAAGAATAAAGTAATGTGTCTTATTTCCTAGCTGCTTCAATTCTGCAAGCAGAAATGAAAGCGATTATTGAAGCCATTACTGGAGCAAAAGATCAGGTTACTCTTATTTCCTAGCTGCTTTAATTCTTTTTTTTTCGATAATATGTAAGTATATTAGACCGAAAAAATAGCATTTTACAATGCATCAAATCCAAATCAAAATGACTATCTAAGCTAGAAAAATCTAACCTAGATATAATGCATCAAAATAATGGGACAATCCCCACTTCACAAATCACAAATAAAAGATATTAGGTTTCCCTACTTCAACAAGGAAAAATCGGAAAGGTTTAGTGAACTTTGAATCAAAGCGAACCTCCCCTTTCTTCTTTGTAACACCCGGCAAGCCCTCAAGACATTCATCGGTAAAAGTGAGACCCTTTCTATCCAAATCATCCGTAAGTCGAAGGAAATTGTCCACTCGAATCACATTAGCATGCACGGATTTAAACGGTTTGACAAACAACTTGAGTGTCTTGCCGTTTATCACCTCACATTTTATAACAACATCATCTAGCTGCTTTAATTCTGCAAGCCAGTACTGGAGCAAAAGATCAGGTTACTCTTATTTCCAATTGGAAATTGATTCAGAAATCACCTGTAATCTTCTTTCTAAGAGAAATGAAAAAAAATGTTTATGAAAGACAACTGCTTGTATCAAGCAAAACATGGAACTTCTACGCATCAAAATCATGCACTGTTACCGAGAAATCAACACAGTTGCTCACTCTCTTGCACAAGGACTCAGAACTGGGGAATTCTTTTGTTTGAGAACTGATAATGATCTTTCCTCTTCCATTAGAGCTCTAATTCGTTTAGATGCTTTAGCTACCACCTCCCTTAGAATGTAATGTTGTTTACTTGTTTCCCTTTTCTTTTTTGTATTTTTGGGTCAGGTATTAAGCCCTCAAAAATATTTTCTTTCTTTAGTTTTGTCTTGTATTTCTTGGAGGTATGCCTCCCAAGAGGTCTTGGTATAGTCCTCCTCTCATTCTATATATCTTTGATTTTTTAATATAATCTGGTTAATGTTTCCCGATATTTACCCCACCAACGGGTAGTTCACTTACCGGGATTAAAATAATAATAATAATAATAATAATAATAACAATAATGTGTCTTATTTTGGAATTTGTACTTGTTTTATTCTTATTTAGGAAACTTATTCTTCTTTTATTGGAATTTGGAATTTGGATTCGTTGAATTTGGACATGGTATTTCAAACGCTTAAATCGTTGCAGAAAATTTTGGCACCCTTTGCTTGTTATGTATGGTACCATTTCTTCGGTGTCATCCTCTGCGAGTAACGAGTATATGGTTAATTGGTTAT